ACCAGGACACAGTGTGTCTTGAATGTGGAACTGTCAGTTATGCTAATAATCCATCATGTCTCATCTTCTCCCTTTTTTTCCCATTAAAGTCTTATTTGAACTTGGGCTGTTAGATCTAGCAAGATTTCAAACAGAATGGATTAATTTTCACTTTTATGCACCTGAATGTCACTTTAACCAAAGTTTATTTTGGACTTGCAAAGCTTCAGTTACACCCTGCAGGGCAGGTTAACAGCCCCTCATGGGAAGAGGCTGATATTGAGTTATTTTTACATTAGCTGATTGTTTAAAAAACTACTTGCAATTTATTTAATTTCATTTTTCTTATAATCACACAGATTGTTAGAAATACATCTGATTAAGCTATTAAGCTTAGGTTTTATGGTTTGTTGTTATGTTAGGGTAGAAAGACAGACTAACAGGGTGACATTCTCAGGTGTGACCAGGTGAGATGAGATGTGCACTGAAGCTCAAACAGTTCACAGCAACTAATCAATTAATCGAAAAAATAATCAACGGAATATTTGACTTTCAAAATAATTGTTAGGTGCAGCCCTAAATTTGTTATATGCATGTATTTTTCTCCACACGGCTTCATTGGCTTCGTTTTTTTGGTTAAATAAATGTTGACGCAGTATAACATGTACTGTGATGTATCCATTTTTATATTCGTCTTAGAATTTCCTAAGAAAAATATATATTTTATTATGCCTCGATATAAAACTTTAATTTCAATACAAATTTTGTCACTCTGTAATAAAACACCTGTGCTGGTCTGTGACTTTTCACAAACCAATCTTTTCTGGTGAAGGTGAAAAGGAGGGAGAGCATCTGTGGGTGTGAATGGGAAAAAATGAAGCAGAGAATGGGGGGAAACACTGTGTTTTTTTTTTCTAAAATAAAAAGTTTTGTCTTTGGACATGGCTGGACATGTGCGTGAGAGGATGAAAGAATTGAATGAACAAAGATGAGATTAAATTCTGCAAGACTAAAAAAAAGATTATTTGAATTTTTTTGAATCCCTTACAGAGGATTTGTGCTACATCTATTGAGTAAAAAGTTACATGCAACTTTATGAAAACAGCACCAGACTGAAGAGAACCTGTTGTCATATAATACTGTAGTCAGGTTTCAACACTGATAAACTGAACAATGAACACTTGAGCGATAATTTATAACAATATACTGTACTATACAAACAGGGATATTTTAAACACCACAAAACAGACTACCGATTGATCTGTTAGTGAGTCAACAAAAGAGAATCAATAGACGGGTCAATAATTGTAGTCATGATTTAAAAACAGAAGGCGATGTCTTTGATAAGTTTACACAAATGCAAGCAAGATGCGTCTGGATTTCTAATGTCTGACAAAATAATAAAACAAATTAAAACAGAAAGATTCCTAAGAAATTTTTAAAGGTGTCAATGCAGCTACTGCACAAAACTCCAATTACTGTATAACTTTGTAATAATTTAAGATAAGAAAAAATGCTTACATTTGGATGTATAAACTCTATAAGACATGTAAAGCAAACCAGGACCAAAAGAAATGTCATGACTCATAAGGTCACCACACACCTGTGTGTCACTCCCTGACTACAAAGTTATTGAGAGGCAGACAGAATCATTGACTATAAAAAGATCAAATAAACTATGCAGAGACTTTAAGTCATATCTTACAAATGTTCTAATGGTGAGCAGAGGACTCTGATGGTCATGTGTTAACTTTATTATTTCTACAGTGCTTTATGTAGGAGATAGAAGTTAAAAAGACTCCTCACTTGCAGTTTTGAAGAGAATATTTAGAGCTAAGATTTATTCTGTGGAAACTTGGGTGTGTGCTCTGTGTATTCTGGAGACTTTAACAAAAAGCTGTAAGTCCTATAGTAATAAGAAACACTGGATAAAAGAAGACAAAAATGCTTATGTTAAGATGTATAATTTGAATATGCACCAGGAAGAGCGGTGGGAGTAAAGCGCCCAGTGTGCTCCATCCAAACTGCCAAAATGGGCGTGTTTGTTTACCCGGAAGCAGACATTTATAAAGATAGTCAAAAACTCATGGATGGAGACAAAACAGACACTGTGCACAGAGGAATCTGTCTGTTTAACTGGGGAAGATTTGTGGACAAAATAACAGCGGGTATCACAGGACGAAAACCCATGAAGTAGGAATGCACGATATATCGGTATTGATATCGGTATCGGCCGATATTGGTCATTTTTTAGAATATCGGTATTGGTCCGATATGTAAAATGGGGCCGATACTAATATCCAATATTGATTTCCCACTTTTTAGCTTTGTGTTTCTGTTTTGGGAGGGGAGATGGTTGGTTGGTTGAGCAGCATCTATTTGATCATGATAGTGTTAATGACGCTGCGCAGCCAGCATTAACTGAAGTAGAGCCATGTCAGAGGTCTGGTCATTTATTTAATAGACCCAAGTGTGTTTGTGTGTGTATATGTATAATATAATTTGTGTTTGTGTAATATCGGTAAATATCGGTTATCGGCCATAACAGCAATAATTATAACGGATATCGATATCGGCTGAAATTTTCATATCGGTGCATCCCTACCATGCAGTGGCGTATCTCGCAGTGGGAGGGGTTTCCCAGGAACTCGGTGTCTCAGAAGCTATTAAAGATCAAGTCCACTGGGCCCTTTAGAGAAGTTTGTTTGCAATAGATATATTTTAGACAATTTAAAAGACACCGCAGAGTGAGACATTGTCAACTGTGGAAAAACGTTGAACAGTTCAACTTTCTGTGACCTCTAAACTTTGACTGATGCTTCTACTGTGACTTATGTCCACACTATAAATCTACAAAGAGGGCGGGGCTTTCTCACCTGGTTCAGCAAAGTTCCATTGATCAGTAGTTTTTTTTCTATATAGCCTTTTGTAAATTTTACAAACACTGAATGACACTATTTAAAGTCATCATTGCTTTAGCTGCATGTTTTGGTGTGTAATTTTATTTCAAAGCTTGACAAAAATATACAAAGCAAATATTTGGAACAAGATCGCAATAAGGGAGCTTCAATGCAAATGCACAGGCACCCTCAAATAATAAGGATGAAAACGTTTTGGCAATAATTTGATGAAATAAGTAAGACTTTCCCAAATATGTTTCTCATAGATCCTGAAATGTGTCACTGCGAAATCTGTCTGTATCATCATCACTGCAGGGTGTGACATGACGTGCTAATGCACCATACATGTTTAATGTTAAAATTGTCTGGTTTTCAATAAATAAGTTAGATAAAGTGTTTAAAAAGAACTCTAAAAGTAGACATCATATGTTATTGTCAACATATTTAAAAAATGCTGATGCATTAACATCTGTTTTCTTTTACATTATCTAATATCTAAAAGCCAGCCATCTACATAAAGCTATTATGGATAATTTTGTTACAGAGACTTTTGGTGTCATCGATCTGATTCAGAATCTGCAGCTCTGCTGAGAGAACTACAGACATCCTGTACAAACTGTGAACCAACCAATCCTACTGGAAGCCAAATTAGACGGCCGGACACCGTGTTGATCCTGCAATCTGATCTAGCAGAGAGCACATCTTCTCCACATCAATGTGTTTTGAAAATCTGAGCTGATGGAGGGCGAAGCAGCTCCAGCGCGTCAGCATCCTGCTCGCAAATCGCCGATTTGAAAACTGCAACGACACATTACTCTCATACGCTCAGCCGAGCTCCAGCCAGACAGAGAACATCGTCAGAGCAGCGACAACAGGAGGGAGAGGGGTGGGGGCAGCGTCATCATGGTGGTCTGACCATCCGAGTGAGACGTGAATGGCTGTGCTCTGTTAGCGGTGCCCTGCAGGGGCAGCCGAGCTCTCAGACACTTAGCAGAGAAAGCTGAACAGATGGGGGGGGTTGGCTGTGTATCATGTCATGTCAGACTCCTCTGAGCTGCTGCATCTCTACACAGAGGGAGACAGTTATCAGAACGCATGAGCAGTGAAACTTCAGTCCATGATGGTAACAGTGCAGGAGTGACTTTCATTCATTTGTTGTAGAGGAGATGACAATCTGCCGCCTTAGGCCCAAATCACATCTTCAACAGAGACAAGTAAAGAAGAAATGAAATCTGTAAATGCTTGATAGGCACGACGTGCCTGCATCGGATTGCTTTTGTACACACCCCAGTGTTATATAAAACTCTTGTTTTATATAACTATAATACACACCTGTTTGATGTGCGTATCTGTCTACTACACAAAAACAATCAGTCTCCAGATTTGAAGTCTGGGATTTAAGGATCCAGTGGTTTACATCTCATCAGATCATGACATGTTTTATGTTATTCAAGCAGCTTTAACCTGTTGAGAGTTCAAAAAAAGAAAGAAATCAAAGATTTTAGCAAAACTTTCATCTGACCAGGCCCTGGCTAAAATTATAGTTACTAAAAAGATTAAAGAATCTAAACCTGATCAAAATACCACTACTGATTAGTAACCATTTATAAAGTATAATGTAAAATCAAAGTTTGGGAATACTTTTGTCAGAGATTAGACTATACTTTTTGAACACAACCATTATAATGCTCATAAAGGACTTCATCAAAAAAAACCCACAAGTGGTGACACTAAGATTATGAACGATACAGGTCTAATAATAATTACCTGTATGAGTACCAACTGAGTAACACAAAACTCACTTTATGACGTTCAGAAATGATGAAATGTCACTTATGTTGAAAGGATACATGAAGTTAAATTAAAAGAGCTGTATAAAGAACTGTTTGAATGCTGCTTCAGTGACAGTATTTTATTTTATTTTCTCGTGGACAGTAGCTGCAGTGAAAATGTGTTGGACTCAGGTTGACAGTCCCGTTAGTGTGTCATTGTACACAGCTGCTAATACGTGACAATATCCACAACGACACCGGAACATACTTTAAACTATGTCAAAGACAAACAAAATGGCGACAAATTGATCTATAAAAACACTCAGTTGGAAATATAAAACATACTTACATGGGTGATATCAAACTGTTGCCGCTGACACCGCCGTTCAGCCAGCAGCAGCAACTCCCATCAGCTCTCTGCGTGCCACACTCTCTCCGAAAGCCCTGCTCCGACGTCATGGCGTAGGACGTATTCAAAGATCGTGTTGTACTCAGATGACTCACTCGACTGTTTTAAGACGGTTGCTTAAATATAGGATCTCTGCAGAGGTAAAACAGGTTGTCTTGTAATAATATACAGTATCTGAATAATATGTATTACAGATTATACTGTAATTTACAGGTCTACACTTTCACAGCTTCTTAAAAAACTGCAACAACCTCTTAAAATAACACAATGCACAAATACACGTTTATGTCATGTTTTTCTAAAAAGGATTGAAAAAAGCAAAAGGCAGATTAAGCTAAAAATGCAATGTTGTCATTTTTACAGTATTCAAAAGGAGGGTTTCACGTGACTGAAACCCAGCTATTATCATAATTATCCTGTTTATAGAAGTTGTGCATGACAAGTTTATTCATTCGAAAAGGGGCAACACTTATTATTATTAACAAGGTAAAGGTAAAAATTAAAATTAGTCCTGGAAGTCACTTGTGCAAAACTAGATAAAAATATTTAATTGCAAATAAATATTCCTCATGTTTTATTTTTGTTTTGTACTTGAATTTAATCGCCCAGAAGCCACACTAAATGGTGAGGTTCTTCAAACTGTTCATATAATAGGAAGTAGATTTAATTTTAGCTTATGTTTGATTCGTTTATTTCAAGTC